AATCGATTGTGTACTGCTTCAAGAATGTTATATAGAAATTACACTAAACAATCAAAGGTATTTGTAGTGTATAGAAAATTGTCTAAGGATTTCTATTACCAATAATTTTATGTTTCCACAAAATAACATGGGTTTCAACGTACATTTTTTCGAACTTAATTGAAGACCTATAAACTAAGAAAGACTTTGCAAAACAAAACTGAAATATCTCGAAAGTTCGACATAAAAGTGTAGTTTTTATTGCTCTTTTCGAGAGTGAATATCGACATTGACTTTGTATAAAAATTTGAAGAAAAAATCAAATTGAATGTAAAATCTCGTTTGTATCATATGCCCTTGACAGTTGACATTCTGAGTTATGACAATAACCTTACAAATCCAATACAAACTCCTGCAATTTCGCAAATGTCTTATTGCATGATAAATAAATAAGTTTTTTACCGGGTGTCACATGTGGAGCAGGAACTGCTTACCTTCCGGAGCACCTGAGTTCTGCCTCGGTTTTTGTCGCTGTTCGTGGTGCTCATTATTAGTTTTCTATGTAGTGTCTTGTGGACTTATAAAAATAAGATGATGTGGTATGATTGCCAATTAGACAACTCTCAACAAGAGACCAAATACACAGAAGTTAACAACTATAGGTCACCGTACGGCCTTTAACAATGAGCAAAACCCATACCGCATAGTCAGCTATAAAAGGCCATGAAATGACAAATGCAAAACAGTTCAAACGAGAAAACTAACGGCCTGATTTATGTTAAAAAACAAAATGAACGAAAAACAAATATGATATACAGAAACAAACGACAACCACTGAATTACAGGCTCCTGACTTGGGACAGGCACATAAAGAATGTCTTTGTTGAAAGACGGACAAGATCGTAGGACATTGGAATGTTGAACAATGCTTGAAGGCAAAACAAAAATTAATACATAAACACAACAAAACAATAAAGAAAATCTAAGACACATGATTTTCTTTTGTTGTTAATGACTTTGAACTAGCTTACAGTAACTGAGCACTCTCAGATCTGTATTTTGTGTATTTTGTGCTTTTGTTAGTTGTTTTTTTTTTTGCATTGTATCGGTCCGATGGTTTAAACCCTTTTCAAATGATTTTTATTGTTAGTTCTTATTCTGTGCTGTTACATCATTGTCCCAGGTTAGAAGAGGGGAGAAGGAGGCGGGTTGGCGAGCCCGCAAACATGTTTAACACCGCCAAGTGCTGTATGTGCCTGTCCTATGTCCAGAGCCTGTAATTCAGTGGTTGTCGTTTGTTGCTGTATATCATAATTGTTTTTCGTTTATTGTTTTATACATGAATCAGATCATTAGTTCTCAATTTGCATTGATTACATCTGTCATTTCGTGGCCTTTTAAAATCGCTAAATATGTTATAAAAAGATCATTACATTACATTTTTCAGATCTTCTTTGGTATCATCCCTCGTACCATATTGAACCTCGAGCTGAATCCCTTGGTCAGGTATGAGAGTCTCCCCGATATGGAAAATGCCATGTAATAATCTATTTATTTTTTTATTGGAACGTGTAAAAAGTAATGGTATCATTCAAATGTGATCAAAATACTGAAAAAAATATTAAAACGATATTTCGTGTAGATAACATTATATTTTAATTACCTAATATATGACCATTATACAAATAACAAAAGTACCGACTTCCAAGTGAAATTCAAAGCGGAAAATACCTTATGAAGTGGCAAAATCAAAAGCTAAAGCACATCAAACGAATGGAAAACAACTGTCATATTACTGACTTGGTACAGGCATTTCCTTATGTAGAAAATGGTGGATTAAACTTTGTTTTATAGCTAGCTGAACCTCTCACTTTTATGACAGTCGCATAAAATTTAATTGACAACAATGTATGAGCAAAACAAACAGGCATAATAGGTAAACAAAGTCAAGAATTGGGGTACAGCAGTCAACATTGTGTTACAATCTAGACATATAGTCACTCAATAGACAAAGCACATAAGCACAAATGAAAGACAATAATACAAAAAAATGACCATAGCACAATAACACAATGGTGGGATGTATAAGTACCAAGCCACGCCAAAATGATATTACTAACAATGGACTAAACAGTAAAGGTTACAAATTTTTATACAAAGACAAATATAAGTTTGACAAGCCTGGGGATATATGAGTGTGCACTAATAAAAAAAAAAAAAAACATTTCTTACGATTCTTCAATTAAAAAATAAATAGTTTAAAGCATTAATTTTAGTTAAAACATATTGATTTTTATCCTACATTAAATTCCATATAAACTTCCAAATATTTCTTATGACATCTCCATCTTTCATCAAATTTGAATTTAGAACTTTCAAGAAGTTACCGGAAGGTTACTCAGTTCATAAATCATGAGAAATTTATAAACTTAAATCTGCGATCACTGGAGTTTACTTCTTAAATTCGCTATATATTTACCCTCAATTTGACGAGCGGCTATGAACTCTGATAGTTTTTGATGACTGTTAATCGCAAAATGCACCTTTAACACTTCTTGCCTTATGACTAGCTTTAGTCAGGGTGGATACAATATTTTGTTTGTGATGAGCGTAATGTACATGAAATGATGTTGACATTAAATTATATAGTGAAAATTCGTATTTTGAGACCTAGTAAAATAAAAATAATCGGGAGAGCTCTGAAGATCATTGATGAAAACAAATTAGAACTAGTGGTGTCTAATTGTTTTACCCAATGCATAATTGGGAAACAATGATTTATCATTTGTTTTTATCTTATTTTTTTTTAATCAAAATTTGCTGATACAAGTTCCCAGTTATTATATGTAAGTGCTTTAAACCCGTATAAATGACTGTGTCAAATCATTCAATAGACAGCTGTCTGATTGCGTTTTAAACTGGAGTTATAGAACGTTTTCGTAGATGCGTGGTGAACTAGATGATTTCACATTAGCAGGATAAGTACTTAGGGCTTGTTGTTAGAAATTGTGACCATTCTTTGGTACGGTGTACTATTGGTTATTACTGTTTGTTATTACTTGTATTTTCGTTATCTATTATACGTGACTTAAGATTTTGTTCTGTTTTAAATTTTTGTTTTTTTTAGTACCTTGGTTTAGACCTCTGAACGAGATCAAACGGCTCTCGGTCAAAAAACTTTACTCAGTATTCTGAGTACAAAAATTGTGCTCGAAACACCAAATCCAGTATTTTGATTGTATTATTTCTGAGTCTGAGTAGGAAAATCGTGCTCGAAAAAATGGCCTCGAAGACAAGAACAAATCTGCTCTTGAATACCAAAACCAACTCATTTCTGTGCTAATTGGAAGATTTCTAGAGTAGATTGTTGGGATGTAGATATAGATGCAGCTCATTACTCATCAGGGGAAGTAATGACTTGTGTGAATACGAATATATTAGAAACATAAACCAAAAATCAAATGATACCAAGCCCCCTAAATAACACATACTATACTTAATTGTCTGTGTATGTTAACTTTTAAACATCTTATCCTATGTAAATCGCAGTAGATATGGAAAGCTTTTTAACTATACAAGAATGAAACTTGAAATTTAGTATATTGAGAATGTTTGAAGCTATCAACATGCAAAAATCGAAAGACTATCTGACAATATCAAAAAACTTTAAATGTATCATCTGGTTTTATTGTGTTGTTACGTTTAATTGATGTATTTCAAGCACCATTCATATAAACCTCCCAAGAACAGAGTTATAGGTGAAAATGCAGTTTGTCCTGTTATGAATGAAGTGTATTAACCTACACAAGAATTGAAACTCAAGCTTTACTTTCCAGAAATATTTTCAAAATTCAACGGGAAATCTGTTGGCATAAATCAAAAGACAGACAGATAAAAACAAGTGAAACTGCGAGCTACTGCTCACTGATGATACCCCACCCAAATATGCATTTGGAATATTTAAACCAAAATGTTTTTCGGTATAAACATTGTTGAGTGATGAATCTGAAAACGCATCACACGGTATAGCTGACTCATATAAACCCTGAAACAAAATTTCAGAAATCATTGTAATGTACTTCCTGAGAAAAATGTGACGAAAATTTTCAACTTGAATGTCATGTGTAAAATGATGTAAGTGTTCGGTAAACAGGAAGTTGTTGAGTGATGAATCTGAAAACGAATCACACGGTATAGGTGACTTATATAAACCCTGAAACCAAATTTCAGAAATCCTTATATGTAGTTCCTGAGAAAGATGCGACGAAAATTATTCTTGGGACGGACGGACGGACGGACGGACGGACAGAGGTAAAATAGTATACCCCCACTTCTATTTTAAAGCGGGGGTATAAATATACACAGAAAATCAAAAAATAACCTTACGAGCGTAAGTCACATTTTATAAGTTAACTCTACATCAACGGTCTAGGAATCTTTATCCGCTTTCTTGGGCCCACAAATATACCCAACCATTATCTTGAGTTTCTCTTGCATATAGCTATTCTATAGTAAAAACATGAAAACAACACAAATCGGACCGGTAATTTTCTCATTTGAATGATTTGATATTGTTTTATGTTGAGGCCTTTTGTAGCTTGCTATGCGGTATTTGTTTTGCTCATTGTTGTAGGTCGTACGGCGTTACACAGTTGCTAACATCTACACCATTTGGTCTCTGCTGGATATTGGTCTCATTGGCAATCATATCACGTCCCCTTATTAAAATATATGATTTTCTTACGCGCAAGACTTATTTCTGAAATAATCTTTATGTAAATTGTTTGTTGGAATAAAAATCAGAGTGAAATAAACAGAACAGCCAAAAACTGACAAAGGGGAACGTTGACTGAGGAAGTTACATTGTTAGTTTTAGCGCAACTACATGTATTTTCAAATCAGGCAATATAGAAACTCTGGCTACTGAACAAATCGCACTCACTGAAACTCATTGTTTACAAATGGGTCTTATAAAGATAATGGCAATCAAATATGTGTTCACTTAAAAAAAAGATTACAAGCTATTTCATCAAACATTTATTTGAAAGGTGTTTTGTTAAGCTTGACAATTAGATGTAATTTACGTATGCATGAGGTTAAAATAAGTATACTAATACGCATGCATCAGGTCAGAACTCAAGAAACTTATCTACTGATACATACATGTCATTATGTAAACGAAAAGAAAACATCGAATCTAGATGCGTATGTATACAAAAACACATATTATAATATTTAAACTTCACTTGCACAGAGCATCGTTATACATAAATATTTGAAAATTTGCATGTTTCAAGCAATATGTTGATATATCGGATAATTTTCATCGAGTGATCAATGCAGAAGCAACATCTTGTAAACACCGATTTCAGAATTTCTGTTTGTAAATGTTCACTTATCATCGTATACAAGCATTCCTAGAAACGACGTTTGTGGATAGACTGGTTTGCTGTAAAAATAATTTGTACCACCATGATTTGCGGTTCTGATAAACGCATGCTCATCCTTTCCCATGTTACATAATGCCGTCATCGATGCAGAATGATGTCCTCCAGCATTATCGGTATTTCCGGTGGTCGATATGATTTTGTCTTCAACTACAAGTTCTGTAACGACATATTTCGAATTTTGAATAGACACGGTCCAAGAAAACATGTAGACGCCTTTCCTTGGGGCAACAAAAATCCCATCATATTGATTGTAATGGCCGCCAATGTTTAGAATCACAGTTTCAAACACTACTGTCGATAATGTCTGTAATATAAAATCTCTGCTAGCTATTTTCGCATAAAACATCACGGGATCCATTAATTTATCTACAAAGAAATATTAAATATAAATATGAGCTGTAAACTTACCATAGAACGTAAGTTATCAATCTCATTATATACGAATACACATTATATTGATTGACTGACGTTTGCTAAACGTCCAGTGGCAAGTATTTTATACATGTTCAGGACAAGCGCATTTTAGCGAATTTAAGTTAAAAAATTTAAAATAGAGTGTGTTTGGTGTGTATTTGTGAATTTACCTTTATATCAAAAACGTTCAGAGTAAATAGTCGATGAAATAAAATTTTTATTAATATGAATTTTTATTTTATACAAAAATTTAATATGATATTAAGCAGATATATCATCAACTGACTGTTGGCTTTCTTAGCTTTTGGCATTGAAAGTACATAAAGAAGTATATTTTCAAAAACGTGTTGCGCGCACACATATCGGTTACATACCCTTTTTTAACATTTTTTAAAATTTTCTTTTATTTTGTAATAAAAGACGAACATTTCAATCTTAATAGCATTTGTGACAAAGTTCAACTTTTCAACTATAGTTCAGGCAAGCTACAAAATGTAAAATAGTTTAATAAAAAGATTTTTTTTCCACGTTTTTTATGGTTGATTTCGTTTTTCTCAAATCATACAATTAAAACTAAGGTGACGAAATAAATATTACCTTTTGATTTTGTCACATTGTCAATTACAGTCTCCAATTTCATCACTGTAGTCTCCAGTGCAAAAATTCGTTCATTTTGGACTTCATCTACTGAAACATTTTGCTGCTGAATAGACTTAGAATAACAGCAATTGAATGAAAGTAAAAACACAATAACTGCGATCGCTTCGATCTCCATATTGTATGTATACAACTGTTATGACAGTAAAATATGTTACTTTGATACTCCGCAGAAACAGAAAAGAGAAAAGCGGTTACAGAATGTATTTTGTTTTATATTGCTGCCAAGCTAATGCAGAACAGTATTCGTTGATAACATTATTTGCGTAAATGCTTGCATAACAAAGCAGAAGGGGGTATACTTTAAAGTTCAACTAATCATTTTTCGAAGATGATTCTTATGGTTTTATGACGTATACAAACAACTGCACCATTGAAAGATGCAACAGAGTTAAAAATAGAGAATACTGAACTTTAATATATACTCACGGACTACAAAAATGAAACACACATTTTTGTGATTATTTTTTTACCAAATCATTATTCATCTTCATATAATTGCTGTTCATGCTTATCATACTTCTTTCTGTTTAGAAAAATTATCCAAGGTAATTGAATATACCAGATTATTGACGTCGCACGAATTTCAAAAAGCGAATTTTGAAACCAATGGATGATTTTTTAAAGAATGTTTTTTCGTGAAACATTGAATCCATACTGCCACTTTAATCTGTAAAAAATGATGCATTTCCATGATGCCGAGACAGAGCAATGAAAATCTGAATCAGAACATAAATACTTTGAAGTAGGCAGGAATATGTCAACGTGTTGTTGCTAGACAATTTCACGCCAGACTCTCCTTTTACAGTCCTTACAACAACGGTACAGACAGACGGGCTTTGTTAATCACCACCCATGACCAGACCAGACCACGCCACGTCAATAAAAATGTCATTTGCGAGACAGGTTTACGACTGCAACGTCAATCTCTAAGCAAAGTTTTTTGGTGTCATAACAGATAGATTAACCTCAATATTGTATCCAATATACAATGCCATAGAATCGGCAGCAGAAAACATTTTAAGGCCTACAGATTATACCACAGAATTGCTAAAACAGACTATAATGGAAAAGAAAGACGTCAAAACATGTACAAAAGATCTAGTTGACCTTTATGTCAATCATTTAGGAGTTGGTTATAAGCAGTCTTCGACGGTGATGGTGATATTCATTCATAAGGATAAAACTTTGGTTTCAGTGCAAACCACATTATTTTAACAAAAAAACTTTCGAACTGCAAACTTCATTTAGACAATGAAGTAATGAATCAAACATTTTTTGTGAAAGGACAAGGTTCATAGACCTAATATGGCCTTGAATTTCAACATAAAATTTCAAAATTGCCATGATTTGGTTCATTATGTATCTATTTCAAAAGCCTCACTTCTTTGTTAAAATTTACTCTTCATAAGAGTAAATTCTTGGCTTCATATTCAGCACATTATGAACATATTGTCAAAATATGATGATTTTGCACATTTTTCGGACCAGAAAGCTTGAGGAAACCCTTGGCTGCAACATAGGATTCAAATTTTTCTGTAACCAAAAGTTGCCAATAATGATATTAAATCTCTAGACACAAAACAACTTTCTGGATCATGTGTGGCGGCCAAACTAAATTATGCTAAAAACTAATTGATTATTGAAAATTTTACCAAAACTGCATTACAATACAACTAATGCTTACGTAAGGAGTCAAAACTTCATCATTTTAATGTGATGAACGAAACTGAAGCTATTTCGTATTAATAGTAATATCACAACTATTTCTATGTTAAATTTGTAGTATTTTGGCTTGATTAAAAAAAAAATGTTAAAAACTTAGAGTCAATTTTAACCCTTCGTGAAATTACTCCTTTATGTTTTCATAATTGTTTTAAAACTATTACATATCTTAGAATAAAAACAATAAAAAAAAAAAATATTTACAAGTCTTGATTACAACTCCAGTTTTTGGTGCCTGTCAAAACATGGAGTGAAATAAACAAATCCATTTTTTTTCTGAATTTATTTCTGGACTCATTTTTATCTATTTGATTAAAGGCTTATGCTGAATTGAAACATATATTAAGATTTAAAAAAAAACATCTTTTTTTGGATATCAAACCAGAAAAGTGGAAGGATATCATGTTTACTGGAAGTGGTACGGCCTAGTAAAAACAGCAAACAGGAAGTAGAAAAAAATAGTTTTGACTTCAGGGTTTCATAACTTTTTATTCTTCGTGGCATGAGTCATTTTTTGTTCGATTGAATCACAATTTCACATTACTACATACATGATATGTACATGAAAAAAAAAATCTATGTAGCATTTTATTTTAAATATTTTTTAAAAGATCAGCTGTTTTGCATGTAAGCGCGGAACAGTCAATTACAAGACTACAACCTAGTGTTGCGTTTTTTAAGTCCGTCAGTATATATATCTTACCATATGCTTTTGTGTCGTAACAATATGAATGCTCGGGCTTGAACTGAATCGACATGAGAGTTTTAAATGGTTACATTGGAGTCATCACTATCTAAGATTTTGTAATGCAATCGTGATTATATTTACTGTATGTAACATCTGTGTCATAGATGATAACGGATATATATAATTTGTCATAACCGCTACCTACCACCATTTATTCGTTCACGACAACAGTGAATACGACTAATCATCGAAATTGTAAAGCCATGAGCAATACGACGACTGTCGTTAGAGGAACAGAAATTGTTTACTTTTCCACAGTTTGCACATACTTTCTAAGTGATCAACATGCTTCTGCTTTAGTGTAAAGATTTGTACTTTGTATTATTTATTTGATGATATATGTGATGTTCCATTTTCTTGTGTTTTGTGTTTTGAAAACGTTTTTTTTCCAATTTAAAACTTTCTTGCTTGTTTATGAATAAGGTTTGGAGTATATACATGTACTAATGGTTGGAGAATTTTGTTATTTTTGAGACAATAGACAGTAACAAAGTTCCTGCCTTTTTTGTTTGTTAATACCAATTAACACATTTTTATCAAAAGTAAAACGACATTTATCCTCGATGGAACAGGTACTGCTTATCTGTTCGGAAGAAACACCAGAACTACTAATGATTATAACACACCAGATTAGGATTTTGTTCAATTTTTGTTTCGTCTTAATGTGAATATTTTCGATTATCAACAATTCATATGAATGACGTGGTATGTAAGACATCTGCATTAATGCCACTGCTGGAGGACGTTTTGTGACTAAGGGTATCACCAGCTCAGAGGTCATAACTCCTTTGTTGATATTAGATAACATTGACGTTGTCATAAACTTGTCATAAACTTATCATAAATACCATAATTAAAATTGTGTAAGTTAGACGTGCGTTCGTCTACAAAAGACTCATCTGTGACGCTTGAATCAAAAAAGTTTAAAAAGGCCAAATAAAACACGAAGTTGAAGAGCATAGAGGACGCAAAATTCAAAAACGTTTCGCGAAATACAGCGAAGTAATCTATTCCTGGGTAGAAGTTGGATGCGCATGTTATCTTTTGTTCCAAACGTTCATCTGAGAATGGATTGCACTTTGCCAGATTTAGCAACTTTTGGAATATTTTAAAGCTTTAATGTCCTGTCATTTCGCTATTCATCTGGTTACATCTGGTTGATTTGAGCACCAGTGGTGAGGTTTATGTAAAGGTAATTGAATGAATAATTGACGGTAACAGCAACCGGTCAGGTGTTCTATTCGTAATTTTAAACAACAAATTTTTACTTTTTGTCAAGGATCTTTCAATTGTAGCTAATGATCATGAACTGGTACTGCAAAAAGTAAAATAACAAAAATACCGAACTCCAAGCAAATGGCAATTTAATATACGTTGTGGTCATAAGTTGTATAGGTTGGATTTTGATATACACACATTGTATTAACTAAAGATACCGACATAAGTTTATTGTATCCATCCCTTTGCTGATATTTCACTCCAAATATGAAATCTTGAGTCCACATATTTACGGCTATTCAAATACACATGACATCGAATACTGTTTTTAAAGTTAGGCGTACAGTAATGTACGAGATTTTGAAATTAAGATTGGAATGCAAAAAATTATAACTGGATGTACTATGAAAATAATAAAAAAAACAATCAATGAAAAGACTTCTGATTGTGGTCAAATATATAAATATATATATATTTCACAAAATGTATACTATAGGAATTATAACACGATACATATAATTTTTTTTACTAAAAACGAATCTTCCATTCAACATAGTGTCCAGGCCAAGTCTTTTCACAATTTGACTATCTTTAAAAATCATAGATTATCCTTTAAAGTTTGTAAGATCTTTTGCTTTAAACAACTTCCAACATGCAAAGACATCGCCAGTCCTAAGAAATCGTTTAAATTAAATTAATTAACATATACAGTATGCGTTATATCTAGTTCATTGTATTCAAAAGTTATAAGAAATTGCCATTAGGCCATGACGTTTGCAATTACCGTTTTTGTATTAGGACAAAAGTAACCTCAGGTAAAAAAAGACTAAAACAGAACCAAAGCTCAAAGTAAGTAAGTATGACGAGTTTTTTCAGTTAAATTAGTAATAGAATGTTCTTAATAACAGACGTTCGTTATAATAGACGACATGAAATAATTCTGTTGGAAGAAAGACAACTTTGATATTCGAATCTAATTCGTAGGTATCGGTATATTGTATTTTATAGTGTAAATTTTCAAGTATGTCAGGTATTTCAAATGAAGCTTAACTGAGTTTCAATTTTATAGAATGTTTTTTTTTTCAAATTGGAAAGCTTAAATCATCTGTTTTGTGGTAAGATCTTGTTTTCAAACGACCGTCATATTTTAGATTTTAGTCAAAATATGATAGATTCCTAGCTTTGTCTTTGATACCCATATTTCAAGCTCGATTGGATAGATACTTTCAACAAACTTTAAATTATATAGCTTCTTTTAATATCTTCACGAGTAACTCATGAATGAAGTCTGTTGCAAATGAATAAACGAACAAGTCGACAAGAAGAACTCATAAAAGAATTTTACTATAATAATTGTAAAGCACAGGATCGTAAGACATGAACATTTCTATATTTTACATCTAAAATTTTCATAACATTGAATAGCCAGAAAAATTTTCTTTCAGAAATTAGGAAGTTAGAACTTTTGGACAGAGATTCAGAAAATAAGCTCGTCAATCTTCACTTTTCATCGTAAACAAGCATTCCTAAAAACGATGTTTGATGATAGTTGGTATGACTATAAAATATGTTTGCATTGGAATAACAAGC